GCCATTGTGTTCCCAGAAATGCCAGCGTGGCTGGGTAACCAACAAAAGACGATGTCGTATTGGCCAGTAGCAAGATCATTATACAATTCAATTATTTCAATTAAAAGTGGGTGTTTACAAGAGAGATTTTTTATAGCCTGAAGGAAGGAAAGAGAATCTGAAAATATAATATATTATTTATATTTGGGGTGTCTATTAATATATTTAAGAGCTGTTAGTATTCCGTTTGCTTCTGCTGTGAAATTTGAACTGTTATCACGCAATCGAGAAGATATTGTTCTGGATCCAATGACAGTGGCACAAGCTACTGCGCCACCATCCTTGGACCCATCTGTAAATAAGGATTTGTATGTATTATATTTATTTCTGAACTGACTAAATTCTTGTTTATACTGTAATTCATTAGTTTCGGATTTTTTAAATGTGGTAAATGTTAACTTGTTTGAGTGGCATTTTAGAAGTTGAGACGTACAATATATAACAAGTTTTATGGATAACAACTTCTTTATTTTCGTGAGTGCGACGTTTCGATACAGATTCTTGCTTGACAACGGTACAAGAATCTGTATCGAAACGTCGCACTCACGAAAATAAAGAAGTTGTTATCCATAAAACTTGTTATATATGGTAAATGTTAGGTCAACTTGGCGCCAAGCCAATTGCCAAGGAGGAGAAGAAAGAAGACGGGAAGGATATATATTGTCCAGCCCAAGAGGCGGAACAAGAGAAGGTTTCTTATTGTATAAATCTTCATAGAGGGGATCGAAAACACAATTAAATGCAGGGTTAGATTTGTTAGAGTATAGTTTTGTAGTATATTGTAAAGATAATTTTATACGTCGTTGTGTAAGAGATGGCTTATCTGCCTCGACGTAGAGACTGTCAACTGGAAAAGTTCTAAAAGAACCAAGACAAAGTCTGAGACCTTGGTGATGGATAGAAGCTAACATTTCAAGGTTGCTTTTACAGGCTCCACCATATACAATGTTTGGAGCGAATGAGTGATGGATAGAATCTAACATTTCAAGGTTGCTTTTACAGGCTCCACCATATACAATGTTTGGAGCGAATGAGTGATCTGTATAAGTGATATAGGGTAGTTTGATCACCTCCCCATTTTGAATTGGAAACAACTTTTAACAAGTCAAAAGCCTTGAAACATTTAGCGTTAAGAGATTTAATATGCGGCAAAAACATCAAGTGGGAGTCAAAATTAAGACCCAGAAACTTGGTCTCTTTTACAACTTTGATAGGTGTGCCGTTTAGAAATAGTTCAGGGTCTTTATGTGGTTTGTATTTACGGCAGAAATGTATGCCATTTGTTTTGGATTTAGAAAATATAAAACCATTTTCTAAACACCATTTTTATATTTTGTTTAGACACAACTGCATTTGCCGTTCAATAGTATGCATATTTTTACCATGACAAGAAATATTAAAATCATCCACAAACAGTGACACATCAATTGAATCATTTAAAAGTTTTGATAAACTGTTTATCTTGATACTAAATAAAAGCGGCGTAAAACCAAACTCAGTCAGTCAGTCAGTCTTGATACTAAATAAAGTCACAGACAAAATACTGCCTTGAGTGACACCCTGATCCTGATTGTAATGATCAGACAGGGTAGAACCCATACGGACTTGAAATTGTCTGTCATTTAAAAGTTGGCTATAAATTGAGGCCTCGCAATCCGAAGCCATGTTAGTCATTTAAAATGTCATATTTCCACGTCGTGTCATATGCGTGTTGTTTATTAATTAACGTTTTTAACAAATGATTCCAAACGCACTAGGTGATCGACAGTACTTCCGTTTTTACGGAAACCACATTGTATATCTGTTATAAGGTTATTTGTTTCCAAGTACCAAACAAGTCGATTATTTATCATGCGTTCCATGGTTTTGCAAACACAGCTAGTTAGTGAAATCGGTAGATAATTCGACGGATCCGTATGATCACGTCCGGGGTTAGGTATTGGTACTACTGTAGCGTTATGAGGAAGGAAATTTCCCTGACGTCCAATTATCATCAAAATAGATAAGAGCGTCTCTAAACATGATTCATGTAGTGTGTCAGGAGTTGATAATGTATGTTATCAGCTCCTGTAGCAGTATCGCGAGCTTGGTCAAGAGCAGTATGGAGTGAGTGAATAGAAAATATTTCATTATATTCTTCCCCATTATCTGAATTGAAATTAATAGGGTTTTTTTCTTGTTGTTTTTGATATTGTTGAAATTTTGGCACATAATTAGAAGAGGAACAGTGTTTAGCGAGAGTTTCACCCAGTTTATTCGCAATATCTGATTTATCGGTAAGTAATTGATCTCCATGTTTAACATGATGGACGCTAGCTTTAATACCATTACCTTTAATTTTCTGTACCATGTTCCATACTTTGGACATGGGCGTTCAAGAATTTATTTTGGGTACATAAATTTGCCAAGATTGGCGTTTATTCTGTTTAAAGGTACGCCACGCTTTGCATTTAAAATTTTAAATTTATTTCAATTATGCACCATAGGGTGGCAACGGAAATAATGTTCTGCTTTTTTCTTTGGCTTCCTAGCTTGTTTGCACTCATCGTTGAACCAAGCTTTTCTAATATGTGGAATTGCAGAGGACTTTGGAACACACTCGTTAGCTATGGTATTCAGTTCATCAGGAACATCAATAAAAAGTTCAGGTCTAAGTTTGTCAGCACACAGCGTTTCATATAAAGGCCAGTTAGCCTTTTTAAAATTCCATCTTGATAAAAAAATGAAGGAGCATCAGATGGGGTTACACGTTTCAGTATAGTAGGAAATGGTCACTTCAACAAAGGTCATCGTGGACTGACCATTCAAATTCATTTAGTAAGCTGGAGTCAGTTATTGACAAATCAAAGGCTGAATATGTTCCTGTACCAGGATGTAAATATGTATCTGTGCCATCATTGTATACACATAAATCATTATTTGAAATAAAATCCTCCAAAATTTTACCTTTAGTGTTTGTGGTCGCACTCCACCAGAGTGGGTTGTGGCCATTCAGATCGCCCATGAGTACACATGGTTTGGGAAGTTCATCATAGAGTGTTTGAAGATCAGCCTGCATTAGAGTTGATGATGGCGGAATGTATAATGAACACAGAGTAAGTGTAACGTTCAAGGTAAGTCGCACTGCAACTGCTTGGAGATTTGTTTTGAGTGTCACAGGGCTGTGGATAACGCAATGTCTTACACGAATGGATGATCCTCCAGTGGCCCTGTCACCTGCAGGAGAATAATAATGATATGCATTGAACTGACGAAAATGTAAAGAATCTTTCTGCTTGAGATATGTTTCTCGTAAGCAGATCGCTGACGGTTGGAAATCCTGGTCTAGTAGATGTAGTTCATGTACATTAGTTTAAGACCTCTACAATTCCACTGTATAATGTTCGAAGAAACTATTGTTTTCGGGGGGTTATTGGGGATCTACCCCTTGCCTTTCTAGAGGGCGACAGACTTTGTGCCCTGTGTTGGATGATATCAGAAACATCCATGGCTTCAAGAGATCCAAACTTATTATACATTTGGATCTTGTTTTCTGACCCTTTTGAGGCTTTGCCACTATGGTATTTCTTAGAAGATTCATTGTTTGGTTTGACTTTATTTTTTTTAAACTTGCTTCGCATAATTTCCAGTTGGAAGTTTTGGAGTCGACTGTGATGATGACTTTTCCTTCGAAGATGACCGAGATAATCCGGTGTATAATCCATAGCAAGTGTATAAGTTTAATCGTCCGAGCTTCCCACCCACCACGGAATATCATAAAGACAATGCTAAAAGCAAGCGGGTCTCCGATTTGCAGCACCAGGGATACTCGGATGATATACTGCAGCAGAAAAACTAAAAGATTAATTCCACATCCCTACTCCCTACTGAAGTATCCCATGAGATGCGCATGCGCATAGAGGTCAGTAGCGAGTGTGCATTTGAGGAAAGTTGACGCGAAGTTGGTTAATTCGGGGAAAAGTGACTGGAACTGTGGATTTATCATTGTGATCAATTCATGGAATACTGGAATCTGTTGCTTTCATTATATAGACTGGATATAGGGTGAGTACCAACACTGTCACGGACTATTTCGACGTATTCTTGGATTTTGTGTTGTGTGTTGTGTTCACGGACCCGAGTCGGGGTCAGAGTTCAAGATGGCGGAACAGCAAGAGCCATGCAAACCTAGCGAAATAAGTTCGCACGTGCAAAACCGCAAAGGTTTGTTTGAAAATGTTCGGGACATTGTAGCCCAGGCAGCACCACGAGTGCAGTTGAGAGATCATCATGAGAACTCTCAGTATGTGAATAAAAGCACATCGAGTGAGTTTGACTCGGTGCCGAACAGCCAAAACAATGGCGTGTCTAAAATAGAACCAGCACATCGGCAGCAGGCACGAGTGCAGTGGAGGTCAACACGGCGACTGGTCAGTCGGCCGGGAGGCAGTTGTATACCCTGAATGACATTGGGGATTTCATGAAAGCCATTTTGTATAATCAGACGACTGCCTCTAATCCTGTTGTGGCACAACCTGATGTCTCTAGACCCGACGTGCCACATGCCGGAAACGGTGCTGATGAGACAGGGTACGAAGATATCTCTTCTGACAGTGATACTGACCCAATGGACGCGGTCATGAGGGACCTCGATAGGCAAGAGGTGAATGACGACAGTGATGACGATGATGATGAGGACTTTGCTAAAGGTCTATTAACTGACCTACAGGCCTTCGTTAGCGCAAACGAAGAGACCAGTGGAAAGATAAGGCCTTCTTTGGCTGAGTCCATCAACCAAGGGTTACAAAAAATGGCGAACCAAAAGAAGCTGAAGGAAGTGGCAGACATGTATAAACGGCCTGAGAACTGTGATTTTTGCTTACACCAAGAGTGAACCAGGACATATGGTTACAGGCTAAGCCTTACACAAAAACAGAGACACTAAATGGCAAGGTATACAGAATGTGGTTGTGAAGGCAATGATGCCTATGATTCAGGTCACAAATGATCTCATGGTGGCTGCCATTGACAAGGGTCAAGTCAATGTCAGAGAGCTCTTAAAGAAGAGCACAGACAGCATTAAGCTGATGACGGCATCTATCTCAATTATGAATCAAAGACGCCGGGAAAACTTTCGACCTGATTTGACAGGGGCTTACAAGAGACTTTGCTCAGCCCCGCTTCCGACAACAAATTGGCTCTTTGGAGATGATCTCTCCAAACACATCAAAGACATCTCTGAATCTTCTATGATTGGACAAAAAATTGGACACCCTCCAAAATCCAAATTTGACAACCATTCCAGGCCCCATCCATACAAGAACTGGAAGGCAAACAAAGGGGGTATGAACCGTCACTCAGGCAACCAGCAGCACCATTCCAAAGCCTTTAACCGTGGTGAGCTTTCTTAGGAAAGAAGAGGGGCAGAGGAGACAAGAGATTCTAGGGAGCAAGAAAAGTGTTGAGGTGAGAGAGTCTACGGGTATCAAAACATTGACTAATACACCCAATTCGTTCCAAGCTGGGAATACTAGCAAGTATGTGTCTGTATGGAGTGGCATTACTAGTGACACCTGGGTGCTGAAAAGTGTAACAGGTGTAAATATTGAATTTCATACCTTACCTGTGCAATATTTTGTTCCAACTCCAATTAATTTTATCTTTATTGGATAAGCTAGGGTTTACTGTGCATCCAAAGAAGTCTGTCCTCTCACCATGCAAGCAAATCACTTACTTGGGCTTTGATCTCAACAGTGAAACTATGACGGTCAACTTGACGTCCGATAAGTGTGAAAAGATTGCTTCATACTGTGGAAAAATGTTAAGTGAAGAAAATGTGACAATTAGGCAATTGGCTACATTAGTGGGACAAATGAATGCAGCATGTCCTGGTGTGAAATATGCCCCTTTGTTTTATAAACGGCTGGAGAATTTCAAAAATCTCTCGCTAAAACAGGCCAAGGGGAATTATGATGTAAGCATTAGTTTGTCTGGTGACTGCAGGGAGGACATTCAGTGGTGGATAGACAATGTAGGAAAGTGGCACCAGAGTTTAAATGAGTCGCAGCCTGAACTTACTATTAAGTCAGATGCATCTAACTCCGGCTGGGGTGCAGTGTTTGGTGATACTCGCACTGGTGGTTTATGGTCAGAGAGTGAAAAATGTATGCACATAAATTATCTGGAAATTCTGGCAGGCTGGTTAGCCCTAAAATCATTAATGAGTGACAAGTACAATACACATATTAGAATTATGATGGACAATACTACAGCTGTGGCATATGTCAATAACATGGGTGGTTCTAAACTATTGTGCAATGCTGTAACTCGTGAAATGTGGCTATGGTCTAAAGACCGTGGTATTCGGCTGTCGGCAGGGCATGTACCCGGCGTTACCAATACTGAAGCAGATTTTGAATCTCGAAATTTCATTGATGATGCAGAATGGAAACTTAATAAACATGTGTTTGATGCAATCGTAGAACAATTTGGAAAGCCTCATATTGATCTGTTTGCAAGTAGGATAAATTTCCAGATATCTCCTTATGTGTCTTGGCACCCTGATCCAGACTGTGTTGCTGTTGATGCGTTCACATGTTTTGGGGTGGTGACTTACAATATGTGTTTTGTCCATTCAGTCTACTTGGCCGAGTACTGAAGAAGATCGACAACGATTGTGCGGATGTCATTCTGATAGCACCTTTGTGGACCACACAATTCTGGTTCACCAGAATCCTGGAACTGTTGATAGACTGTCCCAGACTCCTACCCAAGAGCAAGAAACTCCTGACTCTCACTCATCTACCCAACAAGATTCATCCGCTGTGGAACAAACTTCGGCTGACAGCCTTCAAGCTGTCAGGAGATCACTCCAAAGTCAAGGCTTATCGACAGATGCTGTCAACATCATATTGCAATCATGGAGAGGTTCCACAAAGAAACAGTACAAGTCATATCACAAAAGATGGATGCAGTTTTGTGCTAAGGAACACTGCAATACCGTTTCACCAACTATCAGCCAGGTTTTGAATTTCTTAACTGAGCTCTACCACAGTGGGCTTGGATATTCAGCGTTAAACACAGCCAGATCTGCTCTGTCTACCTTTGTGTTGGTTGACGGAGTAGCAGTTAAGGCAACATCACCTAGTCAAGAGACTATTGAAAGGAATATTCAATTTGAGACCTGCTTTGCCCAGATATGGGGTGACCTGGGATGTGTCTAAAGTGTTGACATATCTTCAGACTAAGTCAGCTGATTGTGCCAGTTTGAAATGGATGACTCTTAAGTCTGTAACTTTGTTGGCACTTTTGACAGGACAGAGACTTCAGTCTTTAAACTTGATTGATGTAAGAAATGTTGAGTTTTTGCCTGATAGAGTTAAAGTTAGGTTTGGTGATATTTTAAAGCAATCAAGGCCAGGTTTTCACCAACATGAGTTGACTCTTACTAGATATTCAGATGTTTCACTGTGTGTAGTTAGTACTCTACAGAAATACATGGACATGACCAAGAGCCTCAGAGGTGCAGAAACTGCACTGTTTATTGCTTTGTCCAAACCACATAAACAAGTGAGCAAGGACACAATTTCAAGATGGATCAAACTAGTGTTGGCTAGTGCAGGTATTAACATGACAATATTCAAACCACACAGTGTGCGGATGGCCTCTACTAGTGCAGCAGCATCCGCAAAAGTCAAGTTACAAACAATTCTGCGCACAGCAGGCTGGAGCTCCGAGTGTGTGTTCAGAAAACATTATGACAAGCCTATAGACACTAGTACTGAATATAGTGAAGCTCTTTTGCAGGCTATTGATATTGGGTAAAAGTTTAAATGACTGTTATTTAAAGATACCCAAATGTATGTTTTCAAGTTCATGGGCTATTAAATGATATAGAGTAAATGTTGTGACCAAATTCGTTTCATGTTTTGTATACTAATGACTTGATATGAAATAATGGTCTACTCTGAACATCTCATGGGATACTTCAGTAGGGAGTAGGGATGTGGAATTATAAAATTAAACAGAGACTTACCTGTAAGGTGAAGTTTGATAGTAATTCCACAGACCTATGACATACTGGGGTATCACATGCCCACCTCTCCCACCCTAAGAACAGACCATTATTTCATGCGTTGAAAAACTGACCTCTATGCGCATGCGCATCTCATGGGATACCTCAGTATGTCATAGGTCTGTGGAATTACTATCAAACTTCACCTTACAGGTAAGTCTCGTTTAATTTTATAATTCTTCCACTAGATTGGCCCATGAGCCACCGCCTTCTGGGCATAAGACTCTAGGCAAATTATAAAATTATTAAAGATATGAGAAATTCAAGTGAAAGATCATTTGGCCAAGACTCATGACAGAACATTTTAAAAGTTGAAGTATTATGTGTAACACAATAATACACAGGGCTTGGCATGACCAGCCGATTGGTTGAACCGGGCCCATTCAACCACCAGTCTAGGTGAAGTAAGGGGCGAAGTGGTGTGTTGGGCAAAGGAACACTGTTCCTGAAACCAGTGCCCTCAACCACCAGACTCCCGTCCTCCACTGACACAGGGGCCCAGGTTGGTGGACCAAATATACCCCCGGGTCCACACGGGGGGTTGAAGAGCTCTTAGCGTTACCCAGCACCCACCACGAGGAGGTTGCTCTTCACGGGTGCCGGAAATGTCATGCAGTATTCCGACATGCATTAGGCAACTCCTAATGCAACATACACGCAACATAACATCGCAATGGCGTTTACAAGGTGAGTAGATGGGGCGTATCGCTTGGTGAGTGAGTTAAGATTTCTAAAACGTAGTCACATCGGCAGTAGTGGGCAGTCTAGTGGTTATGACGTTCGCTTGAAACGTCAAGATTCCCCACATGGACACAATGTGTGAAAGCCATTTCTGGAGTCCCCGCTGTAATATTGCTTGAATGCTGCTAAAATCAGCGTAAAACCAAACTCACTCACTCATTCATTCTATGACTGTTGCAAATGTTAAACTGCTGGTATTATTGTACACTCATTGAATTGTATACTGCCTCACTGTTGATTCCTCAGTCACTCACCCTTGACAACATTTCACACATCTGTATTTGTCTCATTGCACCGATTCTGATGGATGCCAACCACTGAACAGGCCACACCCACCTTTACGTGAGTCTCGTATGGTCCGTATTTAATAGTAATTTTATAGTATAGTATAGTAAGAACCGTACAATGTATAGATTACGTATTAATACGTATGTTACCATTGTCAGAGTATATGTTATGTCCTGAAGAATATGTAAATGTCAATATGTGGTCATGTGTCATGTAGAAACAAGAAACAATGCTATGTTTGCTCTATACACAGTTAAGTTTGACATACATACATATATGTGCACTTTAAGTGTGCAAACATTGTTGTATAACCTTGTGTCATATTTAGGATTAAAAGAGTTTGTAGTAAAGTACAAATTGTAGCACATATGTTGTAGTTGGAGTATTTTTACTTCCTTTTCAGTTACAGTTTGGGGTTGGAGATGAGATCGACAGAAATAGTATGGATGGACGTTAATAAGTCTTGATTACGGCTGTTTTCACGTCCGTTTCTGCGCATTAAACATCTCCTAAAACTGCCAATGCACAGATTGCGATAGTGATAAATGGTTTATGGTGGCGTCATAATGAAACCATGGGAATCAAGCTGCATTAGGCATATGTGTGTTTGTGCGTGAAAATGTGCTTAACACATGTCTCTTATCTTGATGAAACGGTGTGTGTTTTGGAAACAGTGGCTCATTAAGATGTTATTAATTATGCATGTTTATTGCAACACGATTAACGATAGCTCCAGTAGGTTGCTCATTTCACTTTACAACAGTTATTAATGTCGATATATTAGGCTAATAGCACATAAAACTTCTTATTTGCATATTGGGATGAATATAAACACACGTGCAAACAAATTTGCCTTCAGAAATCATCCGAAAAGGACAGAGGCTTTTAAAAAAGGTAATGACTATTCTGTATCGTCTTTTCTAATATTTTGCTGTATATGGTGGAAGCATACCATCTGTAGATAAACATTGTAAAATACATAGTACAAGGTTATGCAAGTCTATGCTAAACTGTATAGTATCTCGTTACGGTACGAACGGTTTGTGGATCTGACCCCAAAACACATATATGAAACGTTTTTTCATACATTGACTACCACTTTGTACATCTCGGCTGTGAGGAAATGAATGAACATTGACATTTCATATCATCCATTGTACAATTTTGGTAGTCTTTCTGACCAACATTTTGTCAGTATCTAATCAATTTCCGACATCCCAAAAGTGTTGATGCAGATATGATCACTCAACACACCCATAGAATACAAAAGAGTGCAGTTAGATTAATCACTGGAACCAAACTTCAGGACCATATCACCCCAGTTAACGTTCCACGCGATCTTCACTGGTTACTGATTCGACAAAGAATCATGTTCAAGATCCTTGTCTTCGTGTTCAAGTCCCTGTTCGATCTAGCTCCACCCTACATTAGTGAGCTAATCTCCCATTTCATCCCAAGGCGGACTCTGAGGAAACGATCATCACGAATATTGGTGATACCACGCACAAAAAGAAAGACAGAAAATAGTCAATTTTACAAATAAATTCATTAGCTTTATCAAAAAAGGACAAGATCAGGTTAATTGGCTAGAAGTCTTCTGAGGCTATAGATGGGCCTATTCCACAGAAGTTTAAAAGCATAATTTTTCATGACGCCCTGCACATGTTGTACCAGGGTTGTACCATGGATGGACGTCAGAGTCAAAGCCACAAGCATGACAAGACGGTAGTAGAAGCAACGAGCTATGCCATTATGTCGTTTATGCTGTTTGTGCCAAGGAAGAGCATCCTCTGTTACGGTGTTGGACAGTCTGTGTAAATTCATTACACAGTCGGCATTTCATATAAGTATTTTCTTTAAGAATCACATTTAGGTGATTGCGAGTGGGAAGTGACTGGTTCTAAGCTGCAAAAAGGAAGCCCTCAGTTTCACATTTAAGACCAGCTGACTTCATCCAGGCGAAGGAGTCTGTTGGATTGCTATTCTGTTCCGCACACTGCATGTACAAAGGATGCAATGGCTTCTCAGAAAGCTTCTCCACAAATGACCGACACTGGACTGGTTTACTCCCATCGCTGACCAGTAGTACATCGCCATCAAATAAATCAACCTCAAATTTCAGATTATGTCCAACAACCGTGGCACGCTTAAAATACCTTCCTTTCGTGACCTGCATCACCAGAGGATCATCCCATAAATAAATATGTGCAAAAGTACACAATATAATTCTATCGTGAAGAGCCTCCACATTAATCAAACCCCGACCTCCCGAACTGATTGGCATATATAACGATTGAGAGAGGAATGAGGGTGTTGGGCTCTGTTATCAGACATGATCCTTCTAGTCAGGTGGTCAAGACTCTAGATATCTTGTTTTGTCCGATCAACTACTCCAAAGGAATGGAAGAGGACTGGCACAGCAAATGTACTAGTGGCTTTGACCTTTTTTCGTGTATATAGCTCTCAGCTCCAGATTTCCTTTCAGCAAATTTTATGCTCGGTCTGAAATTTGTCTTGAATCTGGGCATTCTGGAGCTTGTCTCGAACTTGCAATCCAAGACAGGTGTAGGCCTGATCTTCAACAAGATGCTCAATAACTCCTCCCCCTTGTAAGCTGACCGATCCATCATTAGTTACCTTGCCACGTTTCAATGAAGAGTATTACATTTGTCGAATCCAAATGTCATGCCATATCATAAGGGCAAGGAGAACCTGTTCATTCAAATTGGTTTATATCTCCTCTTGGGAAGGAGTTTGGTTATCCATGTAAAGGAGATGGGTAAGCGGTGTTCGGGATCTGTGGTGAGGAGGCCCGGGACGGTAACCCTCCTCTTTATTGAACAGGAGTGAGTGAGTTAAGATTTAACGTCACCTCGGCAATATTTCAGCCATATAGTGACGAGAAAAGCTTTACATACAACAATAAATAGAAGTTGGTAAATAATCAGTCATTGAAGGACTGTAAAATATCTAGAGTACCACAGATGGTGCTTAAAACTAGCTAGTAAATGTAAAGATATTTTTAATGAAAACAATACAATATAAAAATGGGCTATATATCTCGCCAACAACTGAAGGTAGAACACCAGCCTAGTGACATGGGGACTTACTAATTGCTAA